AATATCTTACATGTAACGCTAAACTTCTATTAACAAAATAAGTGTCCCGCGGGCTTACATCTTTCCAAGTAATGACTTGGTTACAACAAAATAAGGTCAGAAGCCCTTTACAATTTAAGCCCTCGGCTTGGAAAGAAAAACATATAAACATATAATAAAATAACAAAACAAAGATTTTAGCCCCAAAACCTCCCAAGCTACGTCCTTGGAGGCTGCATGTCACATGTACCTGAAAATGGTGTCCCAAGTAGGGTGAGCCAAAGCCCAGTAGAGATATGCTAAACAGTATATGAGAATTAACTAAAACATTAGCATCCGATAAATGTTTAACACTTGGAAACCAACGTATACCCTTTTCATAACCAATCAATATTGATATAGTCCATTATTATCCAACAAAACAAAATGAGACTACACTCATATATCAACGCTTCAATCATAAATATCATTTGTACACTTCCATTCCCTTGCCATTTTACGGAACTACGTCCGAGGGAACCGGCACCAAATATATATAAGATTTCGGGACTTTCACCCTGGACACTCCGGCTAACTTAATTATCAATGGAGTCCATCCCCATCTCCTCCCAAACAAAGATACATATGCAATGTATTTAAACACTCTGTCAGATACAATGACCAATTCAATCACATATACAATGTTTACATCCAATCGTCATATTCAATGACATATTCTAATTGATTAGTTTCAATTTACCTAATCATCATGTAGTTTTTACAACAATCATGACTATCCTCCAGCGATAGCCCAAATCAGTTATTTCTAAACAGATAAGTAAATCTATTAAACAGATAAATAACTTTTATCAACAGATAATTTATCACAATTTCCATAGGTGGGTGATTTATTAATCCAATTACACCATTTAATCACAATTTCCTCCAATTTCAAGAGTCTCAAACCAATTTCATGTTTCCACAATTGATCTCATTATTTAAGCAAATAATTCATTTAATCTCAATTAGGGCATTTTTTCATTTTCTCAAAAATTGCTCCCAAGGTCAAATTTCATCAATTATATACAAATGAGCCCTAACTCAAGACCTTACATACACAATGAGCCCAAAATTAGAAAACCCCTCTCTCATATTTCAAACTCAAACCCTAACGATACTCAAAATTCCCAAATCCCACCATTTATACAAAATAACCAAAATTTATGTCAAAACTCATATTAAGGAGTAGATTATCCCTACCTCAAATGGAGAAACTCAAAGGAGAAGAAGAGTGAAACTTGAAGATGCTCCAAACTTGAATTTCTTCGGATCAAAATGAAGCCCATACAATGCTCTACCTTTTTAACAAAGGGACTAGGGTAGAGAGACCCAAGATCAAGGTGTATTTGTAAAGAGAGAAAGTGTAGAGAGAGAGAGAGAGAGACAACCAGATTTAGGGCTTGGAGTGAAAGAGGAGATGAAAAAGTGATAAAAATCATGCTGCTGCGAACTAATATATGTGAGGCTCGCTCGAGCGAAGGAGTGGTCGCTCGAGCGACCAGGCATAACAAATACCTCGCTCGAGCACAAGAAGCGTCGCTCGAGCGAACAATGAGAAGCTTCAGGTCTGCAACCAACGCAGACGCATGCTCGAGCGCAAGAATGCTCGCTCGAGCGAAGAGACACACCACACAAGTCTCGCTCGAGCGCAAGAAAGCTCGCTCGAGCGGAAGCTGCGTCTGAAAATAAACCTGAGAACCCTCAATTCTCGCTCGAGCGCAAGAATCCTCGCTCTAGTGAAGAAGCAAATACCTAGTGCTCGCTCGAGCGCGAAAAGCCTTGCTCGAGCGAAGAAGGAAAAATCTGGGCAACAACCACTTGAACCGACTCACAACCAACCTGTTCCAAACTCGTCCAACACATCCTAAAACTCAAATACAAGGAATTAAAAGATGGAAACAAGATATAGACAATAACATACAACCGTGAAACCTGAGTCCGGACACAATGAAAGTCGGGAAAAAACCTAGATCGCTATATCAATGGAGGTCTTCACTTCACTTTACTTTAGACTTTGGTCTTGAATGGTCTAACGTGGATGGGTCTACAAATCTGGAAGTAGGGTCACTCAACAAGTGTGTGGAAATGAGGGTTAAGTGGTGTGTGTACAATGGTTATGAGTAAAGGGTATAATTATAACTTTTAGTGTGTGGATTGAGAAAATTAATTAATAATCAAATTAATAGGTGTGTATACTGAGAAAAGATGTGCACTGAAATAATTAAGTGTGTGAAAATTAAATTTCCCCTAATATTGTGTAGAACTTAATATGTCTCACTTTAGATAGATTGACTTATAGTACTTGCTATTTTTTATAATTCAATATGAATATAAAATTAAAAAAAATAAAATAATCAGGTCATAGGTCTAATTTTAAATTTTTTGAAGTAATAGTCTTAAACTCTATTCTTTTGGAGTCAAAAGGATGATAATAATTTGAACAATTATATTACATTTATCTATCCAAAAACCTCACTTATTTGTCCACTTATCTGTCCACGTGTCATCCTCCTATTTGTTCATGTGCCACCTATCTGTCCATATCATTATCACCACCACCATCACCGCCGGCCACCTCTATTGACTTTTTTGGCAATGGTCTAGTAGTAGTCCCGCAGTGATGGTGTAAAATTAGAAAAAAAATAAAAATAAAAAAATAAAAATAAATTGTCATTCTTACCAAATAATTTCATTAAACATGTTTTATTGCCAAAAAAGATTAAACTTTAGACTAACAGCATCTCCAATGGTTTGCCATTGGAGCTGCCAAAGCTATAATATAGCAGCTTTGTGAAAAAAAGGGTTCTTCAATGGTGAGATATAGCAGTTGTTAAAAATGGCAAATGCTAAAGCAGTTGCCAAGTTTGACAACTTGGGCAAATGGCAAATCTGCCAACTCACCCAAAACTAACTGGAGAAGAATTTTTGAAAATTATTGTTCGCTGTAGAATGATCACTCAGGAACACAAGTGTCTATCTCATCTCGATGGGGTGTAATTATGAAATGTTGCAACAAATTTCGTAAGTGTCTAGCGCAAGTCGAAAATCTACATCCAAGTGGGATGTTACAAGTTGATATAGTAAGATTTCATTTTCATTTATTATGTTATTTTTTTTTATTTTGTCTTATATAAAAATTAACTAATTAATTAATTTAATATTTTATTGATACATATGCTTCAAGCAAACTGTTATACCATCAAGATAAAAACAAACATTTTGTTTTTGAACATTGTTGGCCAATCTTACAAAACAATATCAGGTGGCAAGATGTAACTCCTACGAACATGATGAAGTCAAGGATACGTACACCATTTTCTCCTAATTCAGCCCCGATTCTCCTATGGATAACTGCATTTCTCTTGAAAACAACAACAGTTCAAGGGTTGGTAACAATCCAATTGTTGGTAATAATCCAATCGATGAGGGTAGTGTCTCTAAAAAGGGTCAAAGGCTTATGGGTAGGAAAACGACAAAAGAATTATTTTGGAGAAATCAAGTCGTTGAAGCTGAAGTACAAAAAATGAGCATACAATTGGAGACATTTAACCAACACCTTACTGAGAAGTAAAAGAAAAAAACTGAAAGAGAAAAAAAAAGGATTCAAGCACTGTAGGAGATGAAAGAACTTGAGATCAAAAGACATGAACATGAGATCAAAAAGGAAGAACATTTGATAATGACTACAGACATTTCTCATTTGGACCCTCAGATGAAAGCGTATTACACAATGCGAAAAAATGAGATTTTCGCAAAGTGGTTCGCACATGTCAGCAACCCAAATTACTATTTTTTCTGCCTCCTGATGAATAATTACAGGAGAAAGTATTTTTTAATTGTGCAATGTCATTTATTTTTTAATGTAATAATTCATTGTGTAATATGCTTGTTTTGCAATGTCTTTTTTATTTTGTAATGTAATGTAGTGGTCCATTTATTTTTGAGTATTTTTATGTTCCAGTGTAATTTTATTTTTGCAATGTATAATGTTGACTATTTTTTAGTATAATTTTGTATTGGTATGTTTTTTGGTGAGGTAAATTATATTATTTTCTTTTTTCAATTTTTTAATTTTTTTTAATTTTTAATATTTCTCTAGTCGGGAATAATGTAAATATATAATTTTTTTTAAAAAACAATTAAAAAAAGGTCACAAAAGACAAAAAAAAAAAAAAAAAAAAAAAAAAAAAAAACTAAAAAACCTATATCTGAACAACACCTACAAACTTGAAGGAAAAGTTGGTTGAAATTTGCCAAAATAGCATATGACCATTGGAGCATCATTGCTATAATTTGGCAAAATAGCAACGGCAATGCTATTTTAGCAAACACCATTAGAGATGCTCTAAGGTGTGAACCTTTCACCAATTAAAAAAAAATAAAAAATATTTTTACATGTTTTAATTTTTTTTTGGTTTAACTTTTTATTTTTTTTTTTTGATCGGCAAAACAAAATATTTATTGATGGGAACATACGAAGTATGAAAGAGTACATCAATAAAGAGGAGCTTGGAGCTAGCATAAGCTCCAAGCTCCAGTTGGTGAGGGGCCAATAACAAGCAAAGAAAGAAAAGCCAGAAAAGCACAAGGTCCCATGATCCTCCAGCAGAACAAATGGCTGCCACATGATCCTCCAGCAGAGGAAAATTAGCAGAGCAACAGCCTCTTTCAACAGAAAAACCAGCAGACTACCAGCAGATAACAGCCAGAATTGCCTTGAAACTACACAGGTCCCATGAACCACACTGCAGCCCATCAGTCATTCTACATAACCATGAACTACCAACAACAAAGCCAAACAAAGCAGAGGCAAAAAGAAGGCAGAGAAAACCAGCACAAACCAGAGGAAAACCAGTATAAAATCACCAAAAATAGTGCTGAAGCATACTAACAGGTATTCAACCAAACGCACCCACAGGAGGCACCAGACTCCAATTACTTTGTTGCCTACAAACTAGGCCAAATTTGATATACATGAGAATCTAGACCTGAGACACATCAGCTCCTGGAGGATCAATCATGGTATATGCATTACCCTCAACATCATCTCCAAACTTTAACCCAAAACAACAACATAACACCTAGAGCAAACTGCAGAACAACATTACACCACAAAGCTCACACAGCAGTATTCACACATCAATAGATCAACACAGAGATGCAGGACATCACCCAAAGTTGACACAGTCCAAACATCACAGCAAGGAGAAAGAAAACCCAAACAACCAGAGCACACCAACAAACCAGCAGAGTTTTCCATTCAAGCAGCAGAGTTCCTCTACAAGCAGCAGACCAGCAAACTAGCATACAACCAGAGCACACCAACACAGCAGTATCCAGACTAGTACAATAAAGCTACATAGCAACAACATCAGTTGTAGTCCACCAAAAAACACCCATCAATTGCTGCCATGATCTCTATTCAAATAAAACCAAACCTTCAAAACAACGATCAATGGCTGCACTTGATATGCTGATAAAACTAGTAGAACCAAACACCAGAACCTGATGTGCTGATAACCTGTTGAGCTGCAAAAAGCCACCAAAATTCCATTTCCATATTGTCTTCCATCTCTATAAGCCACCAGTGCAAGCTGCTGCAGAAGCTCCTAAGCCAAGCACCTTCTAACCTGTTGCAGATTATGCACCAGATCATGGACAGAGTAGTTCAAGTTTGGGACAAAGGACTTAACCCACAAGGCAATTCGTATCTCAACGGTTTCACATAGAGCTATAAAATTAGGCTCCACCTCATTAAACACACAGTCATTCCTCTGTTTCCATATAGACCAGAAAATAACATATGGTATTACACTCCACAGCTTCTTTTCAAGTTGTCTCATTCTACAACCAGACCATCACTGAAGAATACTCTGAACTGAACCTGGTGAAGCCCATTGCAGCCCCCACCCTCTGACAAAGTAAGACCAGATCAGCCACACAAAAAGGCAGTGAAGTAACACATGGTTAATAGTTTCCTCCACTTCTTTGCAGAACACACAACAGACATCAACATTGGAATTTAGGATACCAATCCTCCGCAACTAGCAGACTTGATTCTACCCCTCCAAACCAACCAACCAAAGAATTGCGCTCTTGGTGGTGAAGGAGCCTTCCACAAAGATCTAGAAATCAAACTAGTAGAACCAAAACCCAGTTCAAACCACTGGTAGGCAGATGAGACACTGAAGCAACCAGATGTATCTGTATTCCAAGTTAAACAATTAGCAACATTAGCTTTGAGCAAAGGGGTACTGCTGAGATGCACTAGCAATCTACTTAACTCCTCTTCCTCCCAAGCAAAGAGAGGCCTCCTAAAATTAAACACCCAATTTCCATATGCATCTCTATTGCTGTGAAACATGAATACATACCCTACTTTATCAACTGATAGAGAGTAGAGTCTAGGAAACTCATCTCTAAGACATACACCCTCTGACCAACAGTCAGACCAAAATCTAATTCTTCTACCATCCCCAATCTTGACTACAGTATTACTCCTAAAAAATTGCATAAGATTTGCCCTAGAAGCCACAGTGCGAATTATGTCACCCCAAATCTTGGACAACCTGCTAGCCCTCTCAGTAGAAGGAAACCATGCCCAACCTGGCTCCCTGTACTTTCCACATATAACATCCTTCCAAAGGGAATTCTCTTCAGCACCAAACCTCCACCACCACTTCAGTAAAAGGCATACATTCATAATTCTAATTCTCTTAACGCCTAGCCTCCTATGTTTTTAGTTTTAGAAACATCCTCCCATTTCACCAAGTGCACTTTCCTTCTTAAATCTGAGTCATCCCAAAGAAAAGCAGATTGAATACTTTCCATGTTTTTTGCTACTATCTCAAGCATCTTGAAGATTGAGAAATAAAAAATAGGTAAGCTAGCAAGAACAGACTTAATCAAGGTCAACCGACCTGTAAAGGATAAATATCTTCTCTTCCAAGAAGCAAGTTTTTGCTTACACTTATCAATCACTGGCAGCCAAGTTCTACTACTACTTGGGCTGGCCCCTAATGGTAGCCCCAAGTATTTGATGGGCAATTTCTGATATTTACAATTCAACCTTATTGCCAAATCCTTACCCAGCTTATCCGGAATCCCTACCCCATAGACCACACTTTTCTTAAATTTAATTCTAAGTCCTGACAAGACTTCAAAGCACCTGAGGATTCGTTTTATATTAACTATTTTTGCCCAGTCAGCTTCACAGAACAAAATGGTATCATCCGCAAATTGTAAATGAGTGATTTGAAGACCACTGGGCCCAACAGACGCACCTTTAATCAGACCCAAGTTTTTAGCTCTACCCAGTAAGATGTTAAGTGTTTCAGCTACAATGATGAACAGAAAAGGTGACAGTGGGTCTCCCTGTCGAAGACCCCTCTGTGGACAAAATTTAGGAGTTGGTGACCTATTAACCAACACTGAAGTTCTTATAGAAGCAACACATTCCTTCATCCAACTCATCCACTTAGGACCAAAACCAAAATTAAATAAGATAGAAAACAAAAATTCCCAATTGACAGAATCATAAGCTTTATGAAAATCCAGTTTAAGCACAATTCCACATCCTCTAGCCTTGTTCCACCCATCTACTATCTCGTTAGCAATAAGTATACCATCTAAAATGTTTCTGCCCCTCATAAATGCTGATTGAGTTTCACTTATGATCCTAGGCAGCACCTGTTTCAACCTATTTGATAGTATCTTGGCCAATATCTTGTACATGGAGCCTACTAAGTTGATGGGCCTATATTCATTTAGGCTAGCTGGGTTCTCATTTTTTGGGATTAAAGCTATGAAGGAACTGTTTAACCCTCTAACCAACTTGGCATTTTGATGAAAGTCCCTCATAAATAGAAAGACATCCTCCTTCACTATATGCCAGCATTTCTGAAAAAAACTCATATTAAAACCATCAGGCCCGAGGGCCTTGTTCCCTCCACAAGATTTAATAGCACTTAAGATTTCCTCTTCTGAAAATTCCGCTTCCAAAAATCCTGAATCATGGCCTTCCCCAATTGACTTAAAGGGGCCATTTAAGGTGGGCCTAACCATTCAAGATTTTGGCTCTCCCCATCTTTGGCATTATACAAAAAGTCGTTCTCAGGACCCTATCTAAAGTGTGTCCACCCCAGCAAAGTGGAAGCATTCTTGTACGAGATACACGAAGGGGTGTGCGGAAGCCATCAAGGAGGAAGATCGCTAGCTTACAGGGCCATTTCACAAGGATACTGGTGGCCATACATGCAGGCAGACTCAGAGAAATATGTGAAAAAGTGTGAGAAGTGCCAAAAATTCGCACACCAAATACATCAACCAGCTAGAGAACTCCTACCGTTAACTAGCCCATGGCTTTTCGCAATGTGGGGCTTAGACATAGTAGGACCACTTCCAACAGTACCCGGCAACATGAAGTTCTTTCTCGCAGCAACAGACTACTTCACAAAGCGGGTGGAAGCAGAAGCATTGGCATCAATCAAAGAAAGAGATGTGAAGAAGTTCGTCTGGCAAAACATCATCACCCGGTTTGGCATACCAAAAGCCCTAATCTCAGACAATGGCACTCAGTTCGATGGCAGAATCTTTAGAGACTTTTGTGAAGAATATAAGATAGAGTTCTATAATTCTACACCGGCATATCCCCAAGCAAATGGGCAGGCAGAAGCTTCAAACAAGGTAGTCTTGGATGGGTTGAAGAAAAGGTTGGAGAAAGCCAAGGCAAATGGGCGGAAGAACTTCCTCATGTTTTATGGGCTTACCGCACCACACCTCGGCGGTCAACAGGAGAAACACCATTCTCCTTAGCATACGGAATGGAAGCAGTAATCCCACTGGAAGTTGGCCTCCCCACAATTCGAAGTGAAAATTTTGATTCAGACTTAAATGGAGAAGTTATAGCATTAGAGCTCGACCTTGCGGAAGAAAGAAGAGAGAAAGCACTAGTTCACATTGCCTCATATCAACAAGAGTTATCCAGGAAATACAACAAGACGGTGCATCCAAGACAATTCAAGATCGGAGATTGGGTACTGCGCAAAGTGATGGGAAACACCTTGATACCAGGAGATAGCAAGTTAGGGCCAAATTGGGAAGGTCCTTACAAAGTGGTTGGATTAGCAGCCAAAGGGGCATACCACCTAGAAGACAATGACGGCAAAGCAATCCCTAGACCATGGAACACCGCCAATCTTAAGTTATTTTATTTTTAGCTTTTTCAAACATATGTAACTTTTTCTTTCCTCAATAAAACAAATCGATTCTTTTTAGCATAAGTTGTTCTCTGTAAAAGTTAACTTAGGTGAAGTTAGGAATATTGCAAACATTATTTTAAGTTGGCTGGAAAAACTAACTTAGAGGTTGGCTAGATTAAACTAACACCCCTCCTAAGCCCAGGATAAGGATCCAGGCTGCATGACGTTTGGTTGAAATAACCAAACATTATTCTAAGTTGGCTGGAAAAACTAACTTAGAGGTTGGCTGGATTAAACCAACACCCCTCCTAAGCCTAGGATAAGGATCCAGGCTGCAGGACGTTTGGTCGAAATAACCAAATATTATTCTAAGTTAGCTGGAAAAACTAACTTAGAGGTTGGCTGGATTAAACCAACACCCCTCCTAAGCCCAGGATAAGGATCCAGGCTGCAGGACGTTTGGTCGGAATAACCAAACATTATTCTAAGTTGGCTGGAAAAACTAACTTAGAGGTTGGTTGGATTAAACCAACAACCTTCCTAAGCCCAGGATGAGGATCCAGGCTGCAGGACGTTTGGTCGGAATAACCAAACATTATTCTAAGTTGGCTGAAAAAACTAATTTAGAGGTTGGCTGGATTAAACCAACACCTTTTCTAAGCCCAGGATAAGGATCCAGGCTGCAGGACATTTGGTCGAAATAACCAAACATTCTTTTTCTAAATTGGCTGAAAAAACCAACTCTTAGTACTCTTTAGCCGCAGTAAGGACATCGGCTAAAAGAGTGGTTGGCTGGATTAAACCAACTCTTTGTACTCTTCAGCCGAAGTAAGGGTATGATTGAAGAGTGGTTGGCTGGATTAAACCAACTCTTTGTACTCCTCAGCCGAAGTAATTATGTCGGCTAAAGAGTGGTTGGCTAGTAAGCATAGTAGATTGACCAGCTAAAACCGAGATAACAGTTGGAAATAAAAAGATCATAGAAGCTATGACAAAGTCAGTACAGGTACAAGCATACAGAGCAAACCGAAATAGCAGTTGGAGTAATAGAAGACATTCCAAGTGCAAGCATACAAATCAAAACCAGAATAAGAGTTGAGCACAAAAGAGGATTTTCATTAAAGAGGTACACAAGAGGGACCGCAGCCCGGTTACAAGTCCAAGAAAAAGAAAAATACAAAATTAGTCAAAAAGATCGAGATCGGCTTCAATATCAACACCGACTCCGGTTTCAGAGGGGCGAACAGTCTCAGTTGGAAGCATGGTCTCTGTTGGAAGCACATTTTCGGTCGTCAAGTCTTCGACTACTGGCTCCAACCGAGCTAATTGATCGTTGACAGCCGCGTTGACAACTGGAGTCTCAGTTTGCTCATCTTCTTCTTCATCGTTAGACGCTTCAAGAAATTGTTTCTGGAGGTCGGCAGCATACTCCGCCAGTGAGGCTGGAATGAAATACTGCGGAGCATTGTAGACATCGGTGTCAGGCCCACAACCGAGCTGCTCCACAGCACCCCTCCAGCCGCATTTGAAGAACAAGTCCTTTGCAGCTTCACACTGTTGGATGTACGCAGCCTCGCCATCCTTGAAACCCTTCACCTCGGCGTCCTCAGCCTTCTTCTTCAGAACTGTTATTTCAACGTCTTTAGCGCCCTCAAGCTGTGCCATCTCCCACAAATATTTGTCCTTCACTTCGGTAACAGCTCGCCGTCTATCACTGTCAGCCAAGGCAACTAGTCCGGTTAGACGAGTTACCTCAGCCTCCAGCTCGGCCATCCTTTGTTGAGAACGTGTTAGTTCGGCAGCCTTGGCTTCGGCTTCAGCCATTGCTTGTCTCGTTGTTTTTCGGAGCTCCAGCACTTTCCTATGTGCAATGTTGTTCTTCTGAATGGCCTGCAAAATAATAACTCTCTTTAGCCGGACTAACAGTTTGGAAAAAGTTAGACAAAGAAAACAGAGAGCCACCTACCAGGATCATTGATTTTGTTAATGATCGGATGGCCTTCAGCTCGGTGTTTAGTTGCTTGTTGTGATGCTCCATATCTTTTGGAAGGCAAACACTCTTGGCTAGGTTGAAAGCCATCAAGTGATCCTTCTCAGCAACAACCAAGTCAGTTTCCTGGATATCTCGGTTTTGAAAGGTGAGAATTGGAGCCCATTTGGAGGAGTCAGCTCGGTCAGATTGCTCCAGTTGAAGGCTGGGTTGAGGGCTCGGTGGAAGGATGGACTCGTTTTCGTCGGCTAGGCGTCGCTCGGTTTGGCTAGTCCGGGCACGCTTGCTCGCCCGAGATGAGGATGGCTGCTGGGATAGAAGGGCTACCACGGTCTTAGTTGTCTGACCGGTTTGTGGTACCTCGGGTCTGTTAGTTTCAGTTAGAAGCGCCCTTACTCTGTTCCTTTTAGCCATTTCTTCTTCAGCGGTCAGTGGGATTAATTTGATTTCTAGCAAGGTTGGGTCCGGTTCTGGGGCCTCCTCTAACAGAAAGTCGGTCATCCTCGCTTTTCGGCGGCCGCTGTATCTATAGGTCGGCTCGAACTTTAGCAGCTTGGCCCAACTACGTTCTGGGTACCGTAGTGCGACGCGCAAGGTCGCTAGATTTGGATAGCTGTATAGAGAATGGAGGTGGGCAGAATCTGCGAAAGAAAACAACTGTTAGTTCAGCTGAAGGATTGAAAAACCGAAATATAGTAAACCACGTAAGAAAACTGAAGTAAATGTACCGGGTTCTCCTTTTTTCCAATTGATGCTTCAGCCAGGAATCTGGGCTTGGTGATCCTCAAAGTTCCCAGACACCCAGAAAAAATCGTCGTCATTCAAGTCTTTATCTGGTGTGTTTTTTATTATTTTCTCACGTCGGCGACGTATTCTGAGATAGTATACCCAGCCGTCTTCCTTCGAACCAATGGAGTATTGGTGAAAGATTTCGGCCAGACCGAGGTTGAGACCGGCTTGGCGCTTTAGTTCGGCTATTCCCATGATTATATGGTATGAATTAGTGGATAGTTGGGTTGGGCATAGTCTGGTTTGCCTAAGAAACTCACAAATCAAGGGTTGGACTGGAAATCATAGTCCAGTTTCAATTATGGGCAAAAGGGTGAAGGGGACAAAGCCTTCATTCCCCCAGGGTATGACATCTTTTTCTGCCAAGATAAGGTGTACATCGTCAGGTATGCCATAATCCCTTCGGAATTCGGCTAGACCACCTGGCGTCTCAACTAGAAACCTATACTTGCCCATTTATTGTATAGTTTATGAATAAATTAAAGATCGGTCCAAAAAATTGTCTCAGTAGCTTGGTTGAGCGCGCAGAGGAGTGCCTGGGCAACCTAAGTCTGCAAAGTAGAAAACAAAGGGGTTAAGCACAGATCATTGGACCGTGCTACAAGATAAAAGTAAAAAATAGGAGCCCTACTTCGGCTATATGGATGCTACAGGTTCTAACTCGGTTTCTGCAAAATGATTGGTGACTCGGTTTGAGCAGGGCCCTTATTAGTTCGGGCTTGGCAGGCGTCTCGATATCTCGGTTGTGGAAACGGTTCTGTTTGACCGATTGATCGTCTAGGGGCAGCTTTCTGAGTTCCATCTAAAAACTAAGAAAGCTGGTTTAGCCCCAAAGGCCTAGATCGGTTGGAGTTCAGGTATCTCAGTATGCTAAGTGTAAACCTAGTCCGGTTGGTTACCTCGGCTAAGGTCTATCAAGAAGTGGTTTGACTTATTTAAAGCTATTGGTGTAAACATGAAGTGTTAGTCCGGTTGTAAGCTGACTAGACTTTTACCTGGCTTAAACAGTATCCTAGTTCGGCTGCATCATGATTTTGGATCAAAAACCAGTTTTCTACAGGATATTTCATAATCTCATGTGTTCC